GGGAAAGGTATGCATCCTCTTCTTTCCCTCCCAGCTATGAGTAAATAGCAGGACAGACGGTGTTCTATAGCTTTTGATGGCAACTGGTCTACCGCAGAAAGAAATGGCAACCTACTGCGGGAAAAATCTGTCTCGTCAGTCATGTATCGAAAGGTTCACGATCGCCTAAGCGTGTATCACGTATGGCACACAACTGAAGGAGGTGATATGCAAAGAAACCAACTCTTTAACCATAGCCTGGAGGGGGAGAAAACTTGGATTCATACCTTTCCCAAGGGTATTAGCACGTAAGCGAATGTAATAAACTCGACTAGAATTCGAGCTCGGTTTTTGGTACATCAATCCCTGTTGCAAATCAGTACCCTACTGTGCTTCTTTTTTTTTTTTTTTAATATAGCAATGAATGTTGGACAATTTCCTCGAAGACGAAGAGCTATGTGGTTCTACAGAAGGATGGTTGGAACATATGAGCCATGAGGAAATCTTAAAGAAAACTGAAACAAAAAGGACACTTGTACGTAGAATCAGAAAGAAAAATTTCTGGTCCACATCATAACGGGTGCCAGAAATTTCCAGTTGGAGAGGTCGACCGGTCATGCTGAAGGCGCGAGAAATCGAAGAAAAAACAACGAGTAGAAATGGGTCGGAGGGATAGTGAAAAGATAAGCATTGCTAAACGCTACAAAGAATAGGAAGTTGTGGAGAGACATGATCTCCCACGTCATGAACGAACATGTCACATTTAAAGGAGATTACTGAAACGCGATTCTGCCCATTTCAGGTCTTCGCCCTACCAGTGCCCGGTGGGCTCAATCACGCTTGACCCTTGATCCATCACCAGCTTTTTATTTTTACAAGATATTTACATTTTTGCGTCATGTTCTTCCTTTCTTTCTCGTTAATTTTCTAGTTTATCTATTTATTTTTTTTATTTTATTTTTTTATTTTTTTATGGAGTTAGAGCAAAATTTGGTCACGCACTTAATCCACAGACAAATAAAGTCAGAATGATTTATTTGTTGTTCTGCTGTCGGCAGATTGGATTTTAAAGAAAAAAATAATTGCTTAACGGGACTGATATGATCTAACGAAAAAGCAACGAATGCGGAGGGGGGCGTATGAAGAGTTTTTAATGATTTGATTAAACAACAACAACAACAACAAAAAAAACAACAACAACAACAACAACAATAATAATAATAATAATAATAATAATAATAATAATAATAATAATAATCTTCACTTCCCGGGCACCACGCACTTTTTACGCTTGTCCGATTAACATTACACTCAGAAAAGAAAGGAGATGGGAGCAGAAATAAAAAGAAAGGAAAAAAGAAAGAAAGGGCGAGAATAGATTTAAACCTAGACTGTAAGTGGCACAAAAGAAAGGAAAAATTCAAGGTCAATTTAGCGTATATCAGGGCCGGTGCATACTACCTCCGACTGGAGGGAAAGCGTGATTGGGGACCTCCGGCAGTGCTTTGTGACCCTCGCTTTCTTATTTGTTTTTTCCCTACCGACATGTTGCAAAAGCCCAACTGACAAGTAAAGGATGAAAACTTTTCCATGATTTTGACGTCATTCTGAGGTCTTTTTTTATTTCGTTCAAATCCGTGAATATGTTTTGCTCATGCTAATTCTCGAAAAAAAAAACAAAAAAACACTATATAAAATTCACTATTTTTTATCCCGAATATTGAATGTGTTAAAATTTATCCAACTTTTCAAAGAGATAAATCTCAAGTTGATGTTAAAAATTACAGCAAAACATTGTTGATTTATTTAAGATGAAATAATCTATTATGACATATCTCTAATTTGTATTCAGATACATTGTATTTATTTTCAATTTTTCTAGTCGAATTCTTCACCAATATTGTATATTACTATTGTACATCATTGTATATCATTATTGTACATAATTACATTACAATAAAATTTCTATTTTATATGAATGCGACCTCATGAAAACTGTAGGGTGGGGGACCCCGATTCATAGATTGGAGGTGAGGATTACAAATTTGTTTTGCAAATGCTAACTCTTCAAAAAACACTATATAAAATTCGCTATTTTTTATCAATAATGTTGAGTGTGTTAAAATTCTTCACCAAGATAAATCTCAAGTTGATGTTAAAAACTGCTGCAGAAAATTGTTGATTTATTTAAGATGGAATGATCTAGCATAACATGTTTCTAATTTGTATTTAGATACATTGTATTTATTTTCAATTTTTCTAGTTGAATTGTTCATGTATATCGCATCTGATTCATTCTTGTATATAATTAGGTTACAATAAAATTTGTATTTGATATGAATACAACCTTATGAAAATTGTGGAGTATAATGAGGGGACCTCGTATAATAGATTCGGGAGCTCGGAACACGGGACCCTTGTACCACCCCTGCCGAATATGAAGGTATGACATTGCACGGGCTTGATGAAACACTAATTTAAGTAGAGCACATTCAAGAAAAAAAAGGCTTTTACAATGTACAGTGTAACCCGGATATAAGAGACCCGGATATAAGAGAAACCCGGATATAAGAGACTTCTTCTCCGGTCCCGACAACTCTTTATATCCGGGTTACACTGTATCTAGATGTGCGTTGTGGTGTAATAGATATCGACTCGGAATGTGAAATAGGAGAGCCGAGTTCGAATTCCAGTCGAGTTCCAATTATATTCACATATGCGCAAATACCCTTGGGAAAGGCATGAATCCATCTCTTCTCCTCCCAGCTATGGGTTAAATAGCAGGACAGACTGGGTCTTATAGCCTTGGCTGGCAACCAGTCTACCGTAGAAAGTAACGTACTGCGGGGAAAATCTTCTGCCTAGTCAGTCATGAATCGAAAGTGATATTATCACGTCTGGCACTTAACTAGCTGAGTTTATGGAATGTTTAAAGCAAGCTGTCAATACTAACAATAACAGGAAAAGAATTATCTTCATCAGTCTCTTGACCGAGTGTGGTCGTAGGGTTCCTGCGCAGCTGAACAACTGACCAGATCCTTTCACATGTCTCGGTTGCATGCCAAAGTCTGAGACTCTTCCAGTCGACTCAGTGACTTTGTTAGACCATGTTTTGTTTTTTTTCCTTTTTTGCTCCTACTTTTTTTTATTTTGCAATATGAAAATCAGCTATTTTAACATGTCTCAAATGCGCAGGCCGATAAACGTAATACACACTGTCTATTAAATAAAAATGAGTCGTCTATTTTAAATACGAAGTGTTCATTATAATAATGGTTGAAGTAATAAAAATGTCGGACTAAAAAATAAATCGATTATTTTTTTAGAAATATCTCTATGTATATATATATATACACACACACACGCACACACACACACACACACACACACACACACACATATATATATATATATATATATATATATGTAACTATACTCGTTTCGAAAAACCTTCGAATTTTTGATTTGCCAATAATCAAATCAATCACGAAGGAAAAAAAGGTTTTAAAAAAAGAAAGAGCTAGAAACATGAAAGTCTGTCGAAATATATATATATATATATATATATATATATATATATATATATATGAAGAAAAATATACGGAAAACACAAACAAAAACGTTTCGGTCTAATAAACCATCTTCAGGACATATTCATAAAATATAATTGACATTATCAATTCAACATGACAAATGATGATGTTAATTATATTTTATGAATATGTCCTGAAGATGGTTTATTAAACCGAAACGTCCGACGTTGACATATTAACATTAAAACAGCATAATTGCATATAAGGATTTTTGTTTGTTTTTTCCGTATATATTTTTCTTCATACTGTCGGATCTATATCCATATATTTTGCTTACACACACACACACACACACACACACACACACACACACACACACATATATATATATATATATATATATATATATATATATATGACCAGTATGACAATTGTGTATTTGGACAACAATCCCTCTTTTATAAAAGTTTCGTTAAAGACAATTAAGTTTTTTATTTGATTTTTCCTATGTTTGCAAAATGTTTTCTTTTCTAGACACAAAATGGGTAAAAACTATCCAGTTGTTCTGCCTATCCCAGCGCTTTCAGCTATTCTTGTAGGCATTATCAAGGATGATTTTATTCTTTCTTTATTTATTTTTAACAAATATATATAATATATATATATATATATATATATATATATATATATATATATATATATATATATATATATATATAAATAATAAAGACAAAAAAACTTATCTTAGCCGACGCGTTTTGTCCTCATAGTGACTTTATCAATGCAAATTCAAAGATCTTATTTTATGGGATAAAGTTCTTCAGAGGACGAAACTATTCGGTAAGGATAAATTTTCCTTTTATCTTTTTTCCTATTGTCTTTTTACATATATATTCTATCTGAAATTTTACACACACACACATATATATATATATATATATAGTTTTGTATTTAGGCAGCAATCCTTCCTTTATGCAAGTTTCATTAAAAAAGACAGACAAGGTACTACGGTTGAGCTTTTTATTTAATTTTTCTTGTGTTCTGACAAGAGCTTTCTTTTCTGGACGAAGGGTGTGTAAGAACTGTCCGAATGTTTTTAATTTCCGTATTCGGAAATTAAAAACATCCCTACCACACACTAATACATACACAGAACGCACACACTCAATTAAGCTAATAAATCAAATCATCCTTGATAATGGCTAAAGGTATAGCCGAAAGTGCTCGGAAATATAAAACATTCGGACAGTTCTTACACACGCTTTGTCCAGAAAATAAAGCTCTTGTCAGAACACAAGAAAAATTAAATAAAAAGCTCAGCCGTAGTACCTTGTCTGTCGTTTTTAATGAAACATACATATATATATATATATATATATATATATATATATGTGTGTGTGTGTGTGTGTGTGTGTGTGTGTGTGTAGATAGATAGATAGATAGATAGATAGATAGATAGATAGATAGATAGATAGAATAGATAGATACGGAATAGAGATAGATACTGAGTATAGATAGATACTGAGTATAGATAGATAGATAGATAGATAGATAGATAGATAGATACGAGAAATAAAAAAAATGTGAGAAATGGGGAAAAGAAATAGAACGATATTTACGGATATCTTCTGTTGATACAGTAAAATTATTCAGTCCGTGTTTATATAAGAAGCAACCCCCTCATCAAACCGCAGACATCAGGGAATGATTTCGTTTTCGTCTTTTACAGGAGTAATGAATTAAAATCTAAAGCGATATGATATATATTTCAGCCAGGTGCTCAGAGTGTAAACATTAGACCCTGGCCTGAAAATAGAGGCTGATATTCCGGAGGAAGTCAGAGATAGACGCATAAAAGAAAAAGAGGGGCGGGAGGATGAAAATAACGAAGGGGAGGTCAGACAGATAAATGAAGGCACGTCCAACTGAGAAAGAAAAGGGCGGAGAAAAAGTTAAAAGAGAAAGAAGGAAAGAAACAAAGAGGGGAAAAAATGGGTGAGAAAGAACAAAAATGAAAGGTGGGGGAATAAAACTGAAACATTCATTCAAATGGAGAACGAAAGAATTCGGGACGTCAGTCGAGAATAGTGGATTAATTGGAGCAGAACTTAAAGATCGGCTCGTCTTTCTTTCTTCGTAAATCGATCTTTCATCATGGCAGCCAACAATAGACCCCGAGTCATCATCTGAGTAATCCAAGTGTACCTCCTTTCATTCAGACCCTACCGCCTACTACGTGCTTAGGCGCCAGCAAATCTCACCCAATTTAAGAAAGAAAAAAATAAACTCTCTACGCCGGCCAAATAGCAACTACAGAGGAATAATAACAAATGATATGAGGCCTGCAATTTTCGAAGTGTCTGCATTAAATACTTACAAGCAGTCCAGTGAAATCCCCAATTATTTTTTCTTCCTCCCCCAATAGGAGTATGATACGTTCGCCTATCGTTCGGATCCTACGGCTCCCCGTTTTTTGGATAGGAGTAGAAGGTTTATCCCTTTTTTCCTGTTTGGGATTGGGCTTCCGGTTCCTTCATCTCTATACTTCTAAGGTCTCCGCCTTAATATCTACGCATATGTTATTTTTGTAAAACACGCCATAATCTTATTCAATCATTAACTTAAGAATTAAGATATATCAGAAAACTAGCAGCATGGCCCGGCGTTGCCCGTGCTTGATTGAAAATCGTACGACTCATACAGCAATCGCTATCACTTGACTTAAAATATTTTTGTTCTTCCTTGCCTTTAAAGGAGTGCCCTTTGCCATGCTGATGTTGCTACATGCCTTACTTCTTGCCTATCTCACACTGCGAACTTTTTCTAAGCTCTATACTAAACATTAAATCTTTTACGAAAAAAACTAAACAAAATGAATACAAAACGATCAGCTTTAAAAAAAGGACTCTTAACTGGAAAAACCGAATGAAAAAAGAATGTTAACAACAAATACTTTTTCACATCCAACCCAGTTCTGCGGAATCAGAATCAACGCTGAGTTTAAGCAAGCGAATAAGCCAATTGGAGTAAAGTGCCATGCAGATTTAAATTTTTCCCACTTGTGACGAATGCAGCTATCGATTTTTTTTTGCATGCTAGCATGCTAGTTAACATTCGTGTCAGTCAGCTGTTGGCTCTCACGCTGGTCAATAGAATCTTCCTGTCTATTCGTGGCAGCCAGCTATAGGCTCTCACTCTGGCCAGTAGAAAATGGCCGCAAACTACATGAAAACTGGCGTAGAAGTATGCAAAAATCGATTATTTCCTCTATCGATGGGAGTTGGGAAATGAAAAGTCGGTCTTGGCCTTCTCCACTAATTTCGAGCATGTGCATGTAAATTTTGGTGCAAATCCGTCGAAAATTGCGGCCGTGCAATCGTCACACACACACACACACACACACACACACACACACACACACACACACACACACACACACACACACATCCTGCCTTTTATAGATAGAGATTAAAATAGAAAACCGAGAAATGTCTAGTAAAGTATAATTTCGAAAAGTAAAATTTCACTGAAATATGTTTCCAAGTTTTCATCTGAAATCAAGAAAATAGTAATTTTATGCGAAATGATCATCATATAGAGAAAAAAAAATAATGTACCAATTTAAACTGATGCCAAGAGGATATGGGTTAAAATTCGTTCAAAATTCGATGTATAGTTGATTGACTGCAGCCCTATGACTATTACTTCTATTATCCTCCTACTACGATTGCTAATCACGCATCCTAATGTGTATAATATCGGCACGACTGTAGCTACGTTTGTGTCTTAAGCAGACTTCAACCTCTTCGCTACCCTCCTGGAATTACGTTTCCGCCGAGAGAATACGAGATTTGTAATCCCGTCGTTGACAGCTATACCACTGACGATAAGCCGATATTTAGAACGAGTGAAAAGTTATTCTACCTACTTAAGGAAACCTGCCCAGAACACCACTAAAAAGTATTTGTATCAAACGGATGCAACATATACGAAAAAATATCCAAGTATTATGCAACAGTTGGCTACAAGGAATTAACTTGTACCACCCACGAAATAACAACGCTGGAGTCATAATAGCTGACGTCGTGAATATAAGATCAGGCAACTCTTGTCGGCGTAAGACATATAAAATGTTTTTTTGAAAATGTACAAGTGGCATGACGCAGCCAAAAGCGATCAAATTTTGTTGACATAATGTGGCAACAAGAAAGAAAAAAAAAACTTAACGATATAAAAATATGCTTTAACAAAAATGGAACAGAAAGGCGTTTAAATACAGTGAGGCACATTCTGGACAAAGATGCATATTCTAAAATAATGACAGAACATCTGAGTTGAAGTAGATATTTCAACCGAATTTTAAAAGAATGATTCTAACAATGGCGGAAATAGGAATGATGAGGCATAAGACGGCTTGCATATTTGCCAAATGTTTGTAACAGCCATAATTCAGCCGTTCTGTTAATGTAAGAAGAGGCACATTAATATTAGTACTGCTTTAATTAAAAGCTCTACTGTATTGCATGACTATA